ACAGCTACTATGACAGGTCGCGGGCAGGACAGTGGGAGTACATGGCAGGGCTTAGCCCAGAGCTGCCCATTTCTTTGGGGAATAGGAGGGCCACTGGCCGAGAGTGAGGATGCAGCCTGCCGCGGAGGGTCTGGGAGGTGGAGAGGGAACTGACTAGGGGAGTTTGATGTGATTTCCAGGGCCCTCTTGAGGTACATGGATCATTAAAGGGAGCCTGGCCAGCAAGGTGGTGTTTCTCAGGTCTGTTTTGGCAGCCAGCACTGGGGTGGAGAAGGCAGCAGGTTGAGACAGGGCAGGAGAGTCGAGGGGCTGCAAGGAAAGGATCAGTGGACCATGGAGCCTTTGCTAGGTGAGGAGGTCACCAGGGGAGCGAAGGACGGTGGCAGGGGCAGTGGGAGGCATAGTCCCTGAGCACCGGGGTCAGGGTGCTGGAGGACGCGCTGGAGGTGCTGTCTAGACAGCAAGTGGTGACCCCCAGAGGGCGGCTGAAGCTCTCGTGGAGGTGTAGCAGTCCCCGGGGACAATAAGGTCTTGGGAATCCCATTGGAACAAGTGGCTGAAGGGCAGGGGTTGTGTCCTTCAGGAAAAGTGGTCAAAAAATTGAGAGGGCAGAGTGGGAAGGGTGGTCTGGGTGGTATTGAAGTCACCCAGGGTCACGGCCGGAGTGATGGAGAGCCAGGAGCTGGAGTCACCAAGGACCGAATGGGGTGATGGTGGAGTGGCAGTGATGGCCATGAGAGTGTGGTGGGCTGGGCCGAGGACCTGACGTGAGGACACAGTGGCATCATGTGTGCACAGGGCCCATTGTGGGACACACAGCAGGCACTTGGTGAATGGGAGCTTGGTGACCTGTTTTAGTTTTTAATTTTGGGGGGGGACCAGGGATTGAACTTGGGTCCTTGCACTTGCGGGTTAGGTGGCGGCAGCACTGAGCTAAATCCCCAGCCCTTGGTGACTTTTTTAGTCATGTGTCAGCGACCACAACATGATCGTTGGACAGCACTTAAAATCAGGCATGTGCTGGACATTGTGCTGTAGGATTTATGTGCCCTTGGTTCTAGAAGGCTCTATGCCTGCAGGGTCTTCCTGTTGTCCTTTCTGTACAGGAATCACTCACCTTCATGTTTGTCCCTGCACTGGAGAATGGCCTCGGCTGGCCTGTCAAGAGCAGCAGGGGTGAACAGATCAGCGAGACAGGAGCTCAGGCCAAGCACTGGAGCAGAGGGTAGGACAAGGACAGAAGGCTTGGCCCTTCCTGAGGTGGACCCTGAGAGCTGGCTGTGATGCTGTGGCACTTCCCAGCCCCTCACCTTTGTACCAAGAGCCTGAGGCAGGAGGACCACAAGTTCAAGCCCACTTAGTAACTTAGTGAGACCCTGTCTCAAAAAAAAGGAGAGTGCACTGGGGATATAATGCAGTATGAAGGCCTTGGGTTCAAAAACTAAAAAATCTTACCTCCCTTAGCCTCAGTTTCTCATCTGTGACACTCACTTTTCAGGTTGGCCACATATAGGATGATGACAGCAAAGAGAGACACAGTTTCATGTTTCGTAAACTGCGGGCCTTGTTTTAACCTGGGGCTCAATTCCCTTCTTAGAAAAGCTTTTTTGGGGGGGGGTACCAGGGATCAAACTTGGGACCTTGCGTTTGTGAGGGAGGCAGGCTGCAGAACCACAAGCCTTTCACAGTGGCTGCCATTATGATGTTGATCTTTCCCTGACTCCTCCTCAAGCATACGATTTAAGAGATTTACTCATTCACTCATTCATACAGTGGGCCTTTGCTGCTTGCCTACTATGTGCTAGGCAGGATAAGAGAGAATTTCCAGTGGTGTTGGTCAGGAGAATAGCGCAGTGGGAGCTCTTGCCAAGTGCTTCCTTGGATTTTCCTTTTCATTTTGGACCAGCTCCAGCTGCTATCTCTGGGAGACTGGCTGTACCCAGAGGCCTGGTCAGGCACGGCCAGCTGGCAGGGATGTGTTTCTGCAAAGCAAGGCTAGTGTGCATGGTGCACGCAAGCAGGCAGGGCCCCGCGCACAGAAGGTGCATGGTGATGGCATTGAGACGGTGCTTCCTGGTGCATCCCCTAGAAGGTATCAGGCCCTCTTCCCTCAAGCCCAGCATCCTTCAGATTTAAGAACGGTTAGACTACTGGTTCTCTGTGTAGTAGCCAGTTTCACAGTTTTATGCCATTTTGGGCCTGGGGATCACCTGCACAGGACAGTTGTGTAGTCTACAGGCCTTTCTCATCTGTGACTTTGGCGGATCTAAGATTGGAAACTCAGGGACAGTGTCTTCAACAGCGCCCCTCCTGATGGGACAGCACCTTATTCTGAGTCCGATGGCTCTGAGGAGAGGTGGAGGGGGTCCCTGGAGGCCGAGGGGTTGCATGAGGCTCCTCAGCAAGGGTCCTATTGGCTGTGCTCCAGGAGAAAAAGGTAATGAGGAGCAACTTCCACTTACCATTGTATAAATCCCACAATCAGGAAAATTGCTTCAATTGCTAAAAAATGCTGGTGGGGAAGTCCATTTATTTTTCATTTTTCTTGTGCACTTGCCACCCTTTTGCATGAATCACTGTCGGTCCGTAGATTAAATTTATACCCCTGTTATCTTTCATGTCTCTGGTGCTCTGGTGTCAACTGGGCTTCTGGCTACTGAAAACCCCATCTGCTTTTTAGAGGTGAGAGTGAATGTGGCCTTCCCGAGGGAGAGGCCACTGGGAGCTCTGCTGTGTTCTGGGGTCTCCCCTCAGGCCTCTGACCTCTCGTCAGGTCTCATTGTGTGGGCCCCCAAGGTAGGATTTTGCCTTTGGGAGAGACCAGATCTTCTCTGGAGCCATTGCTGCCCCAGTTTCTTCAGGAAAGGATTTGGTGATTTAAGTGATTTCTTGGGAAATCTTAGTGTGGTGGAAGCATTGTTTCACCTTAACCTCTGCTTTGTGGATTGGCTTGGATGGGATATAAGAACCACAGACCTTTGAAGATGGTACTCTCTAGTAACACAGATGGAGGCTTTCTTTATCACTGTTAAACACACACACACACACACACACTCACTCTCTCTCTCTCTCTCTCTCTCTCTCTCTCTCTCTCTCTCTCTCTCTCTCTCAGAGATTAGAGCAGGGTACCTGCCTGTCTTTCCCTTTACTACCAGTGGTGAGGTTAGACTGCTTTGTGGCAGAAGCCTGGTTCTCCCCTGTGTTCTGGGTGGCATGGAACAGTCCAGAGCTCGCCATCCACTTGCTGTCCACTCTCAGCTTTAGCCATTTCTGTGCATATCCTCTGAGACCATGGTTCTTTTTCATTGATTTCATTTTTTAACACATATTTGCTTTTCTGGTTCCGGGATCCCTTTGAAAATCCGAGGAAAGCCCAGACCCCCTCCTGAGGAAGGATTTGGAGCAAGTGTGTGCATGTGTGAGTGTGTGTGTGTGTAGGTCACAAAGCCCATCCTGAATTTTAGGCCTGGAACTCTGGCTCTGAGAGGCCTGGATCAGAGCCCCTACCTCCAAACTAAAAGGCATCCAAGGAATTCAGGAGGCTAGGGCCCTCTCAAGCCCCTCTTACCCCAACAGCCTTCTTGTACCAGTCTCAGAAGAGCAGTCCTCCAACCACACCCCTGGCTCTCAGAAGAGCAGTCCTCCCACCACACTCCTGGCTCTCTGGGGTCCCTCACTTCTCTCCAGGACCCCAGGTTCTGGGGCACGGGGTGCCTCTGAAGCTGCAGTTGGCCATGCCTATTGCAGGCTCCTGCAGCCCCCTCAGCAGGTATCATTACTGCATAAGAGACCCATCATTCTGCATTAATCTGGGATTCATCATGATAGCCATGACCATAATTAATTTATTTGGTATTAATGTGGATGAAATATGTACTGTCCTTTCAGGGGAAATCAAGCTGCCTATAAGCATTAGTTAAAAGGACCATTAAAATCAAACCTTCCCCAGATCCATTAGGCGAAGTCTTTCATCCTGAAGAAGATAAAGTTCTGCTGTGTGAAGTGTCATGAATAATTAGGTTGATTGCTGTTTTAAACTCTGCCCCTTCTTCCCTGGCCCCTCCCGCCGCCTTCCTGGATCGGGGAAGGCTCACCTGTTGGCAGGCATCCTCTCCACTGCCCATGTCTTTGCTGGACCCCGAATTTCCCCCTTGCCTCTATGATGGTTGCTGTGGCTCTGTGTGTCTCTATGGCCAGAATGGGGAAAGGCGCTTCAAGGACCCCATCGATGGTTCTTTCAGTGTGTCTGTTGCTCCTCCTTCCCAGCCCTGGTACAAGGTAGCAATGTGTGGCTTCCTCTTGCTTGGTGCCTGTCCAGAAAAGGGCAGAGCAGGGAGAAGTCTGAAGCAGCATTTTCTAAACTGAGATCTACACACTCTGCCCTGCAGTGTCTCTAGGGCTTGAAAGTGTGGCTTCCTGGGCCCACTGTGGATCACTACATCCCAGGACTGTGCCAGAGGAGGCCATGGGCTCTCGTAGGTGGTGAATGGTGGGGAGGGACAGCCCTCCTCTGTGGACAAAGTGCACTTTCTCTGGAGCACCAGTGCGAATGCAGACATATGCTGTTGCCTGGCCACGCAGGGCCTCCTGGGAAGAGGTGGACTGCTGGGTGCTTTATACGCACTTCCTCGAGAGCCTGGTCCTCCAGGTGTCACCATAAAGATGAGGAAGCCCAGAGGTGGACGGTGACAGCCTGCCCAGGGCTGGACTTAGCAACCCCTCCCACTGTCCCCATGAATTGATGGGGGTCAGTTGGGCAATGTGGAGCACTGGGATGTCAGCCTTAGGAAAGCACTGGACACAAAAGAGCCCCCGGCACAGTGATGCAGCTGGTCGGAGGCCCAGAGGACCCAACGGTAAGCTGTGGTGACGGGGCTGATGCCCATGCTCACTGAATGGTGGGGTAGGAAAGGGCTGAAAGAGGTGGGGGAGAAGCCAGAACCCCCCCACCCCGCTCAGATGTCCCCCCTTGCCCTAAACCTTTTCTGCTGCCCTGATAGACGCTTCGGCACAAAATGCACAGCCTGCCAGCAGGGCATCCCCCCGACCCAGGTGGTCCGCAAGGCCCAGGACTTCGTCTACCACCTGCACTGCTTTGCCTGCATCATCTGCAACCGGCAGCTGGCCACAGGAGACGAGTTCTACCTCATGGAGGACGGGCGGCTGGTGTGCAAGGAAGACTACGAGACTGCCAAGCAAAATGGTAAGCAGCATAGCCCTGCAGGTCCCCTTCCTGGCCTTTGTCCAGGCCGTCCCCTTTGCCTGAGGTGCCCTTCTTGCCCTGTCCCACCCTTCTGTCTGAGCCCAGCCCCCTGGCCCTGTCATACTCAGCCTCCCCTGAGACACCTTCTCGGAGCACCATGGTTAGAGTTAATTCTGAACATGCCCAACCCACCAGCATTTGTTGCTTACTAAAGCTTTAATCAAGCTGTGGTTCTGAGAGTGTGCCTGTCTCCCATGCCAGACTGTGGGCTTGGGGCAGCCAGGCACCTTCTTGTCATCTTGGTAGCTCCTTGCCTGGGGCTGGGAGTGCTGAGGTTAGCTGGGAGCCTGGTCCACAGTGGACGTGTGAGGCTGCTCCTGAGCTCTGCACATCAGGGTGCATGCTTACCTCAGCACCTCCATGCCTCAAAAGCTGTAGTGAGTTAGACCCCAGCACTGGCCTGCATCACCCTCCTAGGGGTGTCCCAACTGTGTTTCTGAGCTCCCTTGAGACTGTGGGTTTATCAAGGCCAGAGACTTAGGGGTGCTGACTCCTGAGGTTTCTGATGCCCTGATGTGGAGCAAGTGGCTGATCAGTGTGCTGAGGGAAGAGGAGGAACGTGTGGCTATGTATGGGGAAGACCTCTGCTCAGCCTTATCACTGTGCCCCACTCTGCCTCAGGGCCTCTGCCTGCACTGCTTCACGGAGCTCCTGGCTCAGGCAGAGGCTTGGTCAGGAAGCCTTTATTGGCCACACCTGGAAACCTGCCTTAGCTGGCAGCCAGGGCAGCTGTTACTGTTGTTGTCTATGCTCTGCTCTTGGGCAGCTAGGGTCTGTGCACATTCCACTGTGTTCCCCTCAGCGAGGCTGAGCTGGCTCTTCCTCCCACGGCCCCATCACCCAGCTCCTCACTCACAGGTGGGCCTCTGGAGGAAGATCTGAATTTGCGATTTGGCCAAACTAAAGGCTAGAAATCTCAGAATCATGAACTCATGAAACATCAAGATCCTTTTACTAAATTTTTATTAATTCAGGGTTTTACTTACTGTGGAAAGCAGCCATTGTTGAAAGCTGTGGGCTTGATGGAAATAAATAAATAAGGCACCAAAAATTTCATGTATCTCCCTCCAGATCTTTCCTGGGCTCACACACTGTGTATCCAAACAATACACGGGAAATGAGTTTTTTTCTTAATAAATGCACCATCAAATAAAGGGTCTGTGGTGATGAGGCAGAGGTAATTTGTAGGGGTCTTTCTGGGTGATCCAGCTGGGCCCAGTTCGAGTTTGCTGAGAGGGAGGGAGGGCAGGGCTGCCTATGTCAGGGGCTTCCTTAGTCTTTGGGGACCTCCTCTCCCACTATCTCCACAGCTCTATCCTTTCCAGGTAGGCAGAGGACCTGGTCTACTTCCTCCAGAGACCTGCAGCCTCTGCAGACCCATTCCAAGGCTCTTTGCCTCCATGTACTTGTCCACTCTGGCTCCTGACAACTCCATGCTGTTGCCCCAGAGTCCATTAGGATGTCACAAGAGAGTTGGGTGGCTTGTCAGGGATAAGCTGTCAATGCAGATGGACTCAGTGATAGTGAGATGCCTTTGGAACGCTGATGCTCTTCACCAAAGAGAACCAAGGCTCTACTGCTCCTGGGCCATGCTGGTTCTTACTGTCAGAGACCCCAGGTGCTCTTGGCTCACTGTCTTCTTGTGCTGTAGATGGCTCCAGACAAGAGAGACCCAAACGGAGACTGGTCATTATCTAGTTGGGGTGGCATTAATGACACTGTGGGACTCATAATTTTCTGAAAGAGTATTCACCCAGTAGCAGACCTCTGTAGGACAATGGAAGACAGTGGATTGAACAGCAGAAGCTGGATGGATATCCCCACAGACTTGGAGCTACTTGGGGCAAGTTGGGAGACTGGCTGTCTTAGTTCCTTGACTAAATGTGGGGGATAATAGCACTGGACATACAGGGCTGTTTCATGAGGTTTAAGCAGCATGAGGCTTGCGAGTGGGATGTTAAATAAGAGTGAGACAGGCAGGGAGGTGATGTGCCCTAAAGCAGCTGAAGGCACCTCTGACACGTTCCCTAGCCTTTCCCCACTGTGGTCAGCATGACTCTTGGTGCAGCAGGAACGTTTATCTGTGTAGGCTGCTTGACTGTCATTTAACTTGTTTTAATTTCTCCTTGCTACTTAAACATTCTTTTAGGCTTATAACTTCCTCCCTTGAGCTCAACAAAAGATCTAATATCAGCTATTTGCCCCTTAGTGTGAATGATTTTGTTCATTTGTGCCATCTCCTGGGCTATCTGCATTTTCAGTATAATGAGGTTGCATTTTATGCCAGGGACAAGTTCTAGGAGACCTTGCATAATTCAAAACTAACACATGTGAAGACTAATTTTCCCATAAGAATTAACGTAAAAAAGTAGAGATGTATTCTGCTAGCACACAAATCCATAACCGGTGAAGTGCATCTTTGCCTTAATGCTACTTTTTATTTTCTCAGCATTATCTCTAGTACCTTGCTGAATGCTCTTTCCTAAATTAACAGCCCGAGGTACCATGGTCTCGCTTGCCCTCCCTTATAGTGTTTTATCACATTTAACTTCCGCACCAAAGTTATTGATTTTTGGGTACATTTTTCAGCACAAGCACTGCCACCGCTACTTAATGACTACTTGGATGACATTGTTATAGGATATAAAAAAGATCTTAAATTATAATAACAGAGAATGTTAAAATAACAGCATAATAGTTCCCATAATCACAAGAAAGTCTTGTGCACATGAGCAGTAGTGGGGTACCTATAGGTCACCAATTGGAGTGACAGTTATTCCCCAGGGGCACTGTCATCTGGCTGTGGTGAAAATAATTTCTAATTCACTGGGCCAAGGTGTTTTGAAATTAAGTGATTCTCCATCAATTAAAACTTTTTTTTCTTTTTTTGGTACTGGGGATCGAACTTGGGTCCTTGCGCTTGTGCAGCAGGCGGCGAAACCACTGAGCTAAATCCCCAGTCCCCAATTAAAACTTTTTTTTGAGATAGAATCTTGCCGTATTGCTTAAGCTGGTCTCAAACTCTTAGGCTCAACTAATCCTTCTGCCTCAGTCTCCTGAATAGTTGGGGTTGCAAATGTGCACTATTACACCCAATTCACATTTTTGATAGTTTTTTTCTTTTTTGTACCGGGGATTGAACTTGGGTCCTTGCATTTGTGCAGCAGGCAGTGAAACCACTGAGCTAAATCCCAGGGCCTTTGATAGTTTTTTGGGGTTTTTTTGGCTATAATGGGGGGTGAACCCAAGGCCTTCACACTGAGTTACATCCCCAGCCCTTTTTTCTTTCTTTCTTTCTTGTTTTGATTAGCAACTGCTAAGTTGCAAATTTGTCCAGTCTGGGCTCAAACCTATGATCCTCTCGCCTCATCCTTTCGGAGTGCTGGGACTACAGGTGTGCACCACCATGCCTGACATGGTAGTTTTATTATTTAAAACTTTATACATAAAGACTGTATACATATTAAAACTGTATCATTTCATATTTGCATAATTCAAATTTACATCGGTGTCATGCTGTAAACTCTATAAATATGGGCAGAAGGGACTGACTCCTCCTAACCCAATTTAAAGAATTTTGGAGGTCTGTCTGTCTTGGCATTACTCTGTACGAAATTGCTGAAAGGCTCTGGATGCCTTCTACCCAGGAGACTCCAGGGAGGGAGTGGGTTGAGAACAGTCTGTATGACAGTGGCTCTGCTGAAGAAAATAGTGCAAGAAGAGAGGACATGGGGCCTCCACCCTGTGCCGTGGGCACAAGTGTAGTGTGGCCCAAGCGGCACAACTGTGTAGTTCCTAGAATATGCTGCCCTTAGAGGGCAGGGAGTGTGGCCCCCAGGCTTCAGAGGGTCACTCCCTCACCAAGAAGGTGGCACCCAGGTCTTCTGGCTCCAAGAATTGAAAGGACTGAATGCATGCAAAGCTTGCAGTTTGCCCTGGTGTGCAGTATGTGCTTACTTTGCTTTGGCCAGTTGACCTTTACAGCTCTGGGAATGACCCTGAGGATGTCCAAGCAGAATGTTTGCCATAACAGGAAATGTGTGGAATTTCACGTTCAGGCTGATGAAAGACCTCTGAGAGGCTGGGAGCTGAGGGGAGACAGACAGTGGGCTTCTATGGAAGGCGGCATTGCAAGAGTGGGGTCCCCATGGGGTGGGTTCATTTCTCTACTGCCCTTCCCAGTGCAGGTGCACTTAGCAGGGGAGGGAAGCAGGATGGGCAGAGGCTCAGCTGTTTCAGATGGGCTGATCCCAGGAAGGTGGTGTTCACTGCAGATGACTCTGAGGCAGGAGCGAAGCGGCCACGGACCACCATCACAGCGAAGCAGCTGGAGACACTAAAGAACGCCTACAAGAACTCCCCCAAGCCCGCCCGGCATGTAAGGGAGCAGCTCTCCTCTGAGACAGGACTGGACATGAGGGTTGTACAGGTGAGATGCTAGTACTTCTTTGTCCTCTAGCAGGAAGAAATGGTGTTCAGAGCAGGACTCTATATTTATGCCCTCTAACTTAGGGAGGCTTGGGGAACGTGGGTGACATTCACCTGGTGAATGGTGTCACTGACTCCCCAGAGCATTGGCCAGACTCCAGAGGCAGAATTCTGAGACCCAGGTACAGGGTGTCCTGCACTCCCCTGAAGCTCCTGTGGCTTCCAGCCACCTGCCTTGGGAATCCTGGAGGTTTCTGGCTTGTGGTAGACTCCCCTTGAGTGTGTCCTTTGTGTTTTGTGGCAGGTTTGGTTTCAGAACAGAAGGGCCAAGGAGAAACGCCTGAAGAAGGACGCAGGGCGGCATCGCTGGGGGCAGTTCTATAAGAGCGTCAAGAGGAGCCGGGGAGGCAGCAAGCAGGAGAAGGAGAGCTCTGCAGAGGACTGTGGGGTTAGTGACAGTGAGCTGAGCTTCCGAGGTGAGCTGGGCTGGAGGCATGAGGCTGAGGCTCCAGTAATCCCTGGCAGGCAGGATGTATCTTTCTTGAGGCCTTGTCAACTCCCTCCCTGAGCAGAGGTGTTTCCCCAGGACTTGCAGCAGGGGTGGAGGGGTGGGGGACGGAGGGGGCTTTAATGGTCTTTTATGGTGGGACCAAGAGTAGAGAAGGAGAGCGCAGTTGCTTAGACATGAAAGCTGGGTTCCCTGGGACATGGCTGTCCGTGGGCCTGAGGCTTCCCTTGTTTTTTTGCCAACAGAGTGCCTTCACCAGCCCATGCAGCTGTGAACACAGGCCTTTTCCCCCAGCCTCGTTCCTGTACCTCTTCCCTTTGGGGGGACATTGGCCTCCTCCCATGGTCCTCTAGAATGACCTATTGGTTCCCCCTGTCCTGGGAAAGCAATACTGTGAGTGCATGTGAGATGGAGAACTGGCTGTTTCTGAAATCCCTTTGTCTACCACTCACTCCATCCTGTCCCTTGCACACAAGCTTTGCAGCATGTGCTATATTCGATTTTGTGCATCAGCAACACTGCAAATTACTACATCTTGTGGATCCTCAGATTGTTTGCAAATAACCATAACTGTTTTCAGTTACTGAGTCCTCAAATGTGGAAGCTATTCTGTTGGGAGAAGGGAGGAGTACTGAACTGGGGATCAGAAACCTGGTTTCCAGTGTGGCTCTGTCAAGTGATTGGTTTCTTGTGAGCCTCATGCTCCCCATCTATAAATGGGAATACTACCTCCTCGCCCATCTCACAGAGTTGTCACAGGGATCAGTGAACACAACCAGCTGTGGATGTGCTTGGGAAAGCTAAGCACATTTGCACACATGGAAGAGTGTGGCCCATGGCACCACAGAGGACCCTGTTTATAGTGCAGCTGAGGCCCCATCTTCCTGCTCCCTTTGAAGGGCATGAGCTCCCCACTGTCTTTTTATTTTCGTGGGTGGAATGGGGGCTCAGAAGGATGGGTGTTGATATAGGATGGGAGGATTTATATAGGAATTGATGCATGGGCCATGATAGAAACAGAAAAAGCAGCCCGTGGGACAGAGACTAGAAAAGTTGCCTGCCAGGAGTATGATGCCCTGAGAGGTTTGAGCTCAGCCCAGAAGTTCATGGAGCCCAAAGATCAGCCTCCTCAGAACACAGGGCTTGGGGCCCCAAGGCCAGGAGCCTTATGCTCACTTTCTGGGCCTCTTAACAGGAGTGGGAAAGACATTTAATCTCATTGAAGCTGTCTAAAACTATACCTGGGATACCTAGAATTGTTAAATCTTGTTTTGTAGCTCATTCCTTTTCTTTTCTTTTTTTTTTTTTTTTTGTACCGGGGATCAAACTCGGGACCTTGCGCTTTCGAGGCAGGTGCTGGAACCACTGAGCTAAATCCCCGGCCCTTGTAGCTCATTTCTATTGGGTGCAGGTGGGTCCCACATTAACATAACAGTGGTTTTCTAAACAATAAACAACCCTTTATTTCTTAAGACTAAAACTGCTCAACTCTGTTGGAGAGATGAATTCTTTCATGTGGCAAAGATCCTATTAGATCCCCTTAATGAAATTCTTCAAGAAACAAGAGGGTTTATTTGCCTTAATCAAGTCATTCTTTGCCCTGAATAAGAGCTTACTAGGGAAACCAAACCTTTTGATATTAAACCTCTTTTGGAGGCAGACCAGAAGGATTCTGTACACACGTCTAAGTGTGGTCCTCAGCTGCGCTTACCATATGAGTTACCTGATTCCCAAATAAGCACATTTCTCAGCCTGAAAGCTTTCAGAGTAAATCTTGTTAGCAAGTTGTTTCCTTTTGCGAAGTGGATAACACAACCCACCAAACCTTGAGCATTTGTACTCCTAAGTGTGGCCCAAGTATCTTGGTGCATGAACCACACAAGACCACAAAGCTCTCCAAACATTTTTTTCCAGCTTTCTGGGACCTGAGACTTTAGTCTTTGCAGGTGTTTATTCTTTGTTTCCCCTTGACTCAGGCTGGTCTCTGGGTATCAGGCCAGCATATTAGTGTCTGACCTGTGCTTGGCTACAAGGCAGCTGATGCTCTTGGGTCTTCTCTGGTCATGTGTATCCCTAGGTTGTGAAGGGAAGGGACCACTATACTCCTGACAGCTGACAATAAATCTCCGTTCTTTCGTCCACAGAGGATCAAATTCTCTCAGAACTTGGCCACACCAATAGGATTTATGGCAACGTGGGGGACGTTACAGGCGGACAGTTAATGAATGGGAGCTTCTCCGTGGATGGGACAGGACAATCCTATCAGGACTTGAGGGATGGGAGCCCCTATGGAATCCCCCAGTCTCCATCCTCTATATCGTCCCTGCCATCCCACGCTCCTTTGCTGAATGGGCTGGATTACACGGTGGACAGTAATTTGGGCATCATTGCGCATGCAGGGCAGGGAGTAAACCAGACACTGAGAGCCATGGCTGGGGGACCCACCTCTGACATCTCCACAGGAAGCAGTGTAGGCTATCCCGACTTTCCAACTAGCCCAGGCTCTTGGCTCGATGAAATGGATCATCCTCCTTTTTAAACTTCTCTCCTCCCCATCCTACCTGTCCTGGCTTGAGAGAATATCTTCAAGGATCAAAAGAGACTTGCCTCTTAAGGATCAAAGGTGCACCAATGTGAATTTCCATTATTTTCAATGGAAGTCCTCTGCTGGTTTCTGGAAGGCTGAGAGACCACATTAGGCCTTGCTTCCTTGGGAGGTGGAGGGAGAGCAGCCTCATCTCACACACAGCACAGGGGTGGACAGCCTAGAACTCCAGGGATGCTGACTTGTTGGCTCTCCCCCTCCTGCCCTGCTTAGAGGCTTCGGCTGCTTAGTGTTTTGGTGGCACTAGGTGACTGTGACAGGCTACCTTGGCCTTGGGAACTCTACTCCAACTGCTGTGTCTCACACAATGCCTCCCAAACCACTGCTCTCACCAGAACCACGATTCCTGAGGTGGCGGCATCACAGCCCATTGAGTATAATAAAATGATTTCTGGACCACTCTGATTAAGCCCTGATTTTCAAAATTAAAAAGTCCGTTATTAAAGGTTGGTGAAAATGTTGATGGCCGCAGTTTGATACTAAAAACATGCCCCCTCCCTTTTTGTTTGTTGCTGTGAAGATACAACTTCTTTCTTACTTGAAAGTACAAACCAGAGAATACTTACCAGTTTTGGTTTTTAAGAAATCCTATCTATATCACTGAATCCCTGATGGTAAGAAGTGATTTTCACTGCAGGTGACTCTTGAGGTTACAGCTGGGGTGGCTCTGGACTTTCACAGACTGGCCGATGAGTCCCCATGGTGCATAGTGTGCCTTTTTAATTTACTTGTATCTTTTACTCCCCCAGGTAGGATGTGGGCTACAAAATGATCAAAGCTAGACTATGGAGAGAGTAGAACGACAATCAGTGAAAACATTTGTAGACACATTTGGATTCCAAGCATGCAGTCTGTTTAGCCTCCTTGGCAGATGCGTCTCCCAGAGATCCCCATCCTTTGTAAAATAAAATTTGGAGAGTCTGCTTTGAGGGAGTTGGTTTAGATGAGCTTTTGAGTGTACTACTCCTCCTTCTTAAAAGTGAAAGCGTCCTCTGCTGTACAAGCTGACTCAGTTGGAGGACGATCTTGGTCGCTTCCAGGAACCAGCAATATTTTTTGTCCTAGTTTGGTTGGGAGGAATAATCTAGGGAGAAGCCTTAAAATTGTCAAAAGGGTTCCAAGTAGTCCTTGAGCTGCATCTCTTTGGGTTGCTTGCTGGACTTGTGCTGTGCCCTGGGCTCCAGTCCTGCACCAAAGCCAGAGTTCTCTGGGCAGTGGCAGTGCAAGGACTCCCTCATGTCACTAAGCCTGCGAGGCAGGGCCAGTCCCTGCTTCATGAGCTGCCACTCTGTGACAGGGTGCACTTCTGTGCTATCAGGATGCTCTCCTGGAAATTCCAAATCCCCAGTTTGCAGCTAGGAATTTAGCCAGCTGGAATTTATTCCTACCCCTTGGAAAAGTGTGGTTTGCTTCTTCTAGCCCCATAATCTCTTAAGATCAGTGGGGGAGGAAAGGGGAAGAAGGTATTGTCTTTCCTTCACATGATGAGACCAAAAGCCCTAGAGAGAGACCCTTCCTTCTGTGAATGGTTGATCACTTTTGAGGACTGCAAAGATTTAGGCATGTGGTAGGCAGACTAAAGGAAGAAATAAGACAGTTTCTCTGGCTGTTGTATCATTTGCAAGCCCCTCTTTAAGACTACCCTTAGTTCAGTTAAGCTTCTTTAAAGGATAGAGTCAGTAAATTCGTGGATCAGCCTTCAGGCTCCTTTTCTCTCACCAGTTTTGTACTGTACCCTTGTTTTTGGGTGGGCTGCAACTGCCCTGATCGTTTCCTGGGAAGTCAGCAGCACAGACTTATTTGAGGTTCCGTACTTACGGATGGTGGTGTGTTAAGTCTACCTAATTCTGTGCTACTGAAATTCCCCAACAGTGTGAATGCTGTTTGGGGATGGAGACACAAACACTAGACAATAAGTCATGTGAAGGAAAGGAAATTGCAACTGTCTGGAGGCCACCTTCTTTAAACATACCAGTCTCAGCAGGCCGCTCATAATATGCAGGCAAAAACCTATACTGGGCAATCCAGCTGCAAAGCTGTGTCAGCCAGGTGACTATGTCACCTTGACTATTTGGCCTAGTGTCACATAGGTTCAAAATACTTCATATTTTTGATGTGTGTAGCACTGTTGAAGATCAATTTAAGCTGACCAGTTTTTGTTTTTATAAATGAGTTTGTCATACTTCTAATTCAGTGATGGAAGAATGGGAGGCTGTCCTCACTCATACTAATAAGTCTCCTGAGGGACTCAGTGGGCAGTGCAGTGAACTTAGCAGTAGTGTTTGGTTTCACTTGGGCTGTCTAGCTGGAAAAGATCTTGAGAGACCACTGACCAGAAGGCCAGGAGAACATTAAATTCTTTCCCAGAGTCACCTCCCCAGTGCACAGCAAGCACTGGTGCCCAGTCAGATGCACAGCCATGACAGGTCTTAGACTTGAAGCGATCTTTCTGCAAGGTGGGTTTGCATGGTGGAAGGGCTGGTGCCACTGATGAGCACTGCACACCAAGACTGCTCCCTGATACTTCTGTGGTTTGGAGATGGAGAGGAATAGGGCATTTCCTTAGATTCTCTTAGAGACATTCCTCTAGTGCTTAGTAGGCTATATTATTGGGGACCAGGCACTACCCAGTAGTTGTCTTCCCCTTGCTAAGTGACATGCATACATTTAAAAAAATGAAATAAGACCCATTAGAGCCATTTACAATATTTGGGCCTATCTTTTCACTCTAAGAGACCATTTAATACCGACTATCTGCAATGGCTGCCCAATAGGCTTTAGAGGAGGAAGCTTCTGAATACTGGAGCAAATTAATGTTCCCTCCACCTCACACCCTGAATTTCCAGTGGTAATTTGTTTAAGGGCCTTTATAAAGTAATGCATCCTGGTGAAAACGCTTCTTATGATCAAAGGCTAGCAACTTCACCCCATTTTTTTTTTTTTTTTGGTACCAGGGATCGAACTTGGGACCTTCCGCTTGCGAGGCAGGCAGCAGAACCTCCAGTGGTAATTTGTATAAGCAAAAGTGAAAAATGATTGGCTAACTCAGTGCAGAACTTTGTATTTGCCCCAAAGTAGCAAAACCATGGGAAAATATACACCCAAATAAGGGTTTACTGGCCCAATGGTTAAATCATGTTGTTGGAAAGTGGTTTTTGTTGCCTCTTCAAGGATTTGCTGTGCAACCTCAGGCAAACCCCTTTCACTTTTTGTGCTTTTTGTTTCTTGCCTCGTCTGTTTTGAACAAATATAAGATGAACATCAACTACCATACTGATAACATTGGTCCTGCAAATTAATATAGTGAAATAACGGGGAAATTATGACCTAAGCAAAGCATTTGGCAGTCCTTAAAGATTTTTTTGGTGCCATTTTAAAACAAAATCTAGTGATATAATTGGAGGCTGTTAGATCTTCATTCTTAAGTTCACTTTGCTGGAAGTATAAAAATCTGTAGAAGCTGGGCATATTATAATTCCAGCTACTCTTGAGGCTAAGGCAGGAGGATCTCAAGTTTGAGACCAGCCTAGGCAACTTAGCGAGATCCTGTCTCAAAATAAAAAATTAAAAAAGAGCTGAGGATTTAGCTCAGTACATGCTTCCCTAGCATGTACAAGCCCCTGGGTTCAATCCCCAGCATTGGAAACAACCCAAGAACCGCCTTCTTTCAGGAGGTGTTCAAGGCTTCTGATTAGCAAGTGCTGTGTTTGTGACAGTCCACCATGACACCTAAACCCCCACACAGCTCCTCCCACCTGCCACAACTGACACTTTGGTTATAACCATGGAAATAATGACCACACCTCCTCAGCCAGCAGGGTCTGGAAGGCCTGAGGAAGCTCATTTTTAAACATTGCACTTTAAAAATTGGAAACCGTGAGATGAAGAAAAATTCAATTAAGCGGAAATGAGTTTTATTTTATTGCCTAACTGCTGACGGGCTCTGGGCATGCTGAAAGCTAAATAAAAGCACATCACTGGCTCTCTCTTTCTTGGATTGGTCAGTTGGCCCTTTTTGCAGTAGTTGCTCCAACTCCACTAACACAGTGATTGGAGCCAAAAAGAGAGAGCTCAGCAAAGTCATCCCATCCACACTCTGCTTAGTAGGACCACACTAAAAGCACAGTTTCACGCTGCTAGCTCTGGTGAGGAGACAGCTTCGGGTTTGGGAGGTGCGCCAAGCATTTCTTTGCTTAGAGGCAGAGCACAGGTGGAGAGGGCAAGGACACTCCCACTCTCACCTGATGCCCACCTAGAGATAAGGACCACATTGTATTTTCCTGCTTGAGGACTGTGTTCAGCTTAATGAGCAGGTTTAGGGCTGCAGGACCTCAGAAGCTGCTCTGAGTTTGCATTCAGACCTCAAAGTCCCAGATCCCCTCTGCTCTGGATTGTTGCCCTCATTCTTCCAAGTGTAAATTTTGTACAGTTAAAAATAAATAAAAGTCCTGTTTCCTGGAAAAAAAGAAAAATAACAACAAAAAAACAACCCACTCTTATTTATTGCCATGTGACTTTGGAGAGCAGAAGCCGGTGTGTTTGTATATGCCTCCTGTGTGTTGGCATGAGATGTGTATGGTAAAACTGTGTAAAATAAATATGGAAGTTCTGTAGAAGCTGCTGTGTCTTGCTTTTCATTTGGTTTTCTGGACATTTTCTGTTAACACAGGATAGAAAGCTGAGCTGACAGTGTGATCCTTTCATCACCAGAAGGAAATCAAAAATGGAATACTGAATGCCAAACTACTTAGAGCCATGTAATAGCAGAATTACCTAATAACAGGTTGTGTGGAGGAGACGCTCTGGTTTCGCTGATCGCAGTTTCCTGGGGGCACAATCATTTGGCCTTAGATCGAAGAGAATGGGCAGCAAAAAAATCTGTTGGCCACATAATTTTTAGGGTTTGTCCGGTCACATTTGAAATCCTCTCACACAATTTTCTCCTCAGAGAAAAGATGTGCAGATATCCATATTTGGGTGAAGAGGGACAGGAGGATAGAAATACCTTATCTGGAGTCCTGGCAAGAATTTTCTAGGAAAATGTTCGTGTAAGTTTTTTCCCTGCGGAGATATATTAGTGTGTAGGCCCTCAAATTTAGCTGGAATGAAAGAACAACACTTTTTTGTTTTGGGGTCCTGGGAATTGAACCCAGGGCCTACGTTGCAGCTCTCAAAATTATTAAAAACAAACAAAACCCAAAAATCAATACAGCCATAGGATTTATTTAGAACTAGGAGTTCACTGTAGAAAACTTAGAGCATACCTTTCCTATTAGTGATTACCTTTGTGTGGCTGAAGATCCCAACACAGCATCCCTGTACAATACAGTAGCTACAAGGCACACATGGCTCTTTACACTTAAAATCATTAACACTAAAGAAAACTAAAAGTTTAGTAACACACTAGCTATATTTTAAGTGCTCAATAGCTATTTGTGATGAGTGGCTCTGGTATTTGGACAACACAGATAATAAACATTTCTATCACTGCAGAAAGTTGGACAATGCCCGTAGTGTGGCTAGGGAGGATGGGCAGGGAAAACTCATCTATCACAGCTGTTAGTTATCCTTGAGTACTTGGAATGAAGAATTCTAAAACTCCTCAGACAGTGGTAGGGCCAACATCTGTGTCATTTTGTTTGTGGCATTCCTACTCCCTTTCCCTCCCTTCCTCCTCCCCCCTCTTTTTCCTTTCCTTTCCTTTCCCCCTTTCCTCTTCCCCGCTCCCCCTCCTCCCTCCCTCCCTCCTTCCTTCTTCTTTTTTGGTTTGGTCATTGGACAGCAGCTCCTGAACAGATTTTCTTTCTGATAGACTTTCCAGAACTGTTGCTTAAAGGAGAATAAAGAAGTAAACTGGCTAGAAAGCATTAAATAAGATCCATTCAGGGAAATAAATGTAGGTTCAATAGTGAGTGTTTCCATTCTTTCTCTTTAGGCCCAGTATTCTATTCAGCTAAAATCACATAAGGCTAGGAAGAGATCAAAGATAATGCTGTGAATCTGAACCAATTGCTAAGCTAGAAGTAAAATCATTAAGAGAGATGAGCTTCAACATATCTGAATGTACTTCCTTAGGTCTAATTCTTCAGATATGGTCTAAAAATTCTTTCACAGGGTAAAGGGAAAAATGTTTAGTCCTTTGCCATATTCCCTTAAAGATGTTATTTCAGTGTTATCATTCAGAATTCCTGGTGCCTTTCTTCATAAAGTTGCCTTGCCTGGCTAATGCAGAGAACAGCCTGGATAATTATCTGGATCGTGGCTATTGAAGGGAGGTAAACAGTGTTTGGTGCTGTTGAAGAAATCCTGTGGAGTTAGGAAGAGGGGAAACTATGTTTATAAAATGGGGCCAAGTCAGTAGGACAATGATCATCCTTCTAAAGGGAATCATAAAAATAATTAATCCAAATTATTAAATAAAGGTCTTTTAAGTAATCATCTCCTGCCCTAGAAGACTGTCATATCCTTTTAGAAAAAGCAGACATGGGCTTTTGAATGTAATATTTACCTCTTTATGACCTTTTCATATGACCCTTCATATGACCTTTTCATTCATTTTTTTTCTTCCTATTTTTGCCAGTGAGATTTCAGGATTTTCCTTTAGAACTCTTTCCTTTTGGTGATTTTTTTTTTAAAAACTTTGGTCCTCTCCCCAAACACAAAAACAAATTTAGATACTATACACAAATTAGTTTATTTTATAATTAAATCAAACAAATTACAGGCTGTACCTGACAAGATGCACATTTTCCCTTCTCAAAATGGACCATGGGAGGGGCTCCTAGGAGAAAACAATCTGAATGTAAATGACTTACACCCTGGATCGCTCAGTGGACCACTGAACTGGTCACAGTTTACAAGGCTGATAGAGGCTGAGCTGTCCCTAGGGGCTTTTTAAGAAAAGATTTATCGGATTCCTCTTGCTTGCCAAGCCTGGATCAGGATCTTTTGTGGTTGGGAGGTGTTTGGGGATTTGGGAAA